AAACATATAGATATTAGGATGCATTTCATTAGAGATATAGTTCATAAAGAATCTATTTTACTTGAAAAATTCTTACACAATTTAATCCCACAGATATGGGAACAAATGTACTTCCTCTTCCCAAGTTTAAATCTTGTTTACAGATTCTAAGAATTGATTCTGGGTGAATTTTATGTTTCTGCAGGTGGTGACATCTTTGGTGTTGGTATCGTTAAACACTAATGTATTTGGTGGTTTATGGCATTGGCATCAAAGGGGAGATTTGTTGGAATGTGATGCCGTTTGTGACATTTACTTTCTAACACTTGGGGCAATGATGAAAATGGGCTAAGCCCAAGACTGCTGGAAATGTTTTAATCAAAACCATTGCCCAATAACACAATTTAGTCTCAGGCCCAAAACCCAAGCCCAAGGAATATTCCAAGTGTGTTGCTCTGGATCATTGGATGAAGATTAGATCTACGGTTGATGGTTTGTCTATATATACCAGCTTGACCGTCCCTTTTGGGAGATGCTTTTCATTCTTCTCCTTGCTGTGTGCGAGAAAAGGCTTTTGGGTGTTTTTTGCCTTTGCGATTTTGCTAGTTTCTTTCTTCTATGTTTTGTTCTTTGTGAAATGATTAAAACACTTGGTTTTAATCATTAATCTTCGAGATATTATCTTTGTGATTGAGGGGGAGTTTCGAGTTGTAGATTGATGTGTTCGATCGAGTCCATTGTAGTAGCTGCTTGGGGTTATTGTCTTAGGGTTTGGGGCTTTTGTGGCAATTCTATATTGTACAGACGGGTACAATGAATTGTTTCTGAGCCCATTGTAAATCGATCATACTTTGTATATATTGGTTCGGTCTTCTTGGTGAATGCTTGACTGCTTCCGCGTGATTTTAGAGGCTCATTTCCTTACAATGTCTAAGCGTTAGTGCAATTGCCAATTATTAAAAGAGAAGTGCTTAGATTAAAGCCATCAAGGCTTGTGTGCGCCTCACACTGCACCATTTTATTTCCTTTTACTGCCCCCCAACCCCCAACTTAATTCTACACACATTCCCATTAAGACTGAATATTTTTTGGTATCCTTCAGTATATGTAAGTAACATAACCTTTTGCTCATTCATGCAGCACTGTGTCTTCAGCAAGCAACTTCTCATTAGTCATTATTAATAAAATACAAGTTAGCTGCTACTTAGCCTAGTCTTCATGGCTGCTCAAGTTAGCTGCTCAAGTTAGCCTAGTCTTCATGGCTGCTCCAAACATAAACCATTTCCAAATTTCGATCCCTGAGCACAGTGCACAATAAAATCAATGCAATTTTCCTGAAGATAAAGACTACGATTACTCAGAGAGGGCACAATGGCTTCGTGCCGCAGTCCTTGGAGCCAATGATGGATTGGTCTCCATTGTATCATTAATGATGGGAGTTGGAGCAGTTAAGGAAGATACCAAGGTGATGGTTTTAATTGGATTTGCAGGACTGTTTGCCGTGCCTGTAGCATGGAAATCGGCGAGTCACCATCTCCGTTTACTCGCAACTAGATATTGAAATAGCCCAAATGAAGAGAGAAAAGAGAACGACAAACAATGGACAGAATGAAGAAGCGGAAAAGGAACGGCTCCCCAACCCATGGCAGGCAGCCATGGCATCGGCACTCGCAGTTTCTTTAGGTGCCGTTGTACCATTACTTGCAGCTGCATTTATAGCGGACCACAAGGTGAGGGTGGGAGTGGTGGTGGCAGTTGTGACCTTACCTTTGGTTTCTTTTGGAGTCATCGAGGTAGTGCTGGGCGGAACACCAGTGGCGAGGTCTTGTCCGAGGGTGGTAGTGGGTGGCTGAATGGCTATGGGCATTACATTTGGTCTTACTAAGCTACTAGGCTCCAGTGGTCTGGAAATGTGATTGCCAATTTCACGATTTTTATCTTTCCTAAATCTGCTATGTGATTGCCGGTTTCCTAGATTTTCTTTTCCTATCGAGACGGATAAAATTAGTCAGTCAAGAATGAAAGCTTATTAAAATTGTTCATCATTCGAAACTCACACCCCAAATGTGAAATTTTTGATGAATTGAAAAGCATTTCCATGAGACTTAATTATCTCAAGATATTAATAATTGGTACTTGTATGGGCAAAAATTGATATTTTTAATCATCAAGTTTTATATATTAGTGAACTTCTCAGTAAAATTCAACCACAGCTGATTGTCCCATTTAGTGATATAAGTGTGGTATTTTAGCTAATAGTGGTGATGATTTTAATGCCGTGTTCAATATTGAGATATATACATATCGAATTTAGATATTAAGGAATGCTTATTAGAAATTGGTACTGACAAGTTATGTGTTACGTATGCAAAACGCTAAGATCATTTGCCAATGTCAAGAGGTATCGGGGATAATATTTCCTTGATAGAAAACCGACGAAAATAAAGTCCACAACCACAAATTAGGACAGCAACAGACCAAAACATAGAACATTTACGGGAACGAATATAGTAGACTATAAGAGCCGAGTTTCTCACTTTCAGAAGATTGGTCCTTTTTGCTGACATGTCCAGAGGAGAAGACGTCAAGTCGGGCATAACTTCATTACAACTGCAACCAGGAGCCACATGACCTCAAAGATTACAGCTGAAAAAATATGAACGTAATCCATTAGCACACGAGTTGTTGAAGATTGGAAATACAAAATTCAAGTTAAACAACACAATATCAGCAGTCAAATTACCCAGATCAGAATCCTCCAGAACCTTGGCGATTGTAGGGCCCAGCACGATCACGATTGTATCTGTCATCTCTTCAACATCCACCAGCATCCCTGTTGAGGTCACCAAATCGATCAGGATTCCTGTCAAGACCGCCACTGCCACCGCCATACCCATCATTTCTTCCTTTATGCCTTCCTCCTTCACTAGGACACTCCCTAGCAAAATGTCCTGGCTTGCCACACTTGAAGCACTCCTCCACCACCAGATCTACAACCTCCATATTCACGAGGGCAATCACGATCACACCCTCGTTCGCGGTCACGGTCATGGTCATGGTCGCATGAGCAACCATTGTCTTAATCTCTACCTACCTTGGTGAGGTTGAGCTTCGTCTACAGTAATTGTTCCACCTTCTAAATTTATACAATTCACTGCTTCAATGGCCTCTTCCACCGCTTTCTTTTAATCGAAAGTGACAAACCCAAAGCCACGGGAGTGGTCAAATACCTCGTCAACCACGACCTATGAAAGAAGGAATCATGGTGAGAATCTCCTTCTCCTCCTTTTATGAATGAAGCCATAATATGAATTTCAAAATGGGACCTAAAATCAGCAATTAATTTATCTTAATACATGTTTCTGAAATATATTTCTAGTCAGCTGACAAACACTTATCTCCAGGTCATCTGTCGCAGTCTTGCATATCGAAAAAGGTAAGATGAGAGATTTACTAAAATAGCAGCTAGCAAAGACTGGGTAGATAAATTATATGAACATATAATTGCTTATTGTTACAACTTACACCATCAAAACCTACTAACTAACTCACTTTTCCCCTTTTAAGCATATAAACTCACACACAGAGAGACAAATATTTGTTTGCTGAGGTGGAGAGAACATATTGTTAGGCATGGTTTGGGGAATGAAATAAACGACAGCTGATTAACATAATGGGATCTGTTGAAATGTGATGTCATTTATGTCATTAGCTTTCTAACTATTTTGGGCTATGATGAAAAGGAAAAGGGCTCAGCCCATTGCTGAATATTTACAGCCATTGCCCAATAACTCAATATTGTTTTAGGCCCGAACCCGAGCCCTATTTGAATGCCAAGTGTGCTTCTCTGAACCATTGGATTAACTCTTGATCTACGGTGATGGTGTGTTGTTATATATACTAGCTGAAGGGTCACTCCTGGCATGATTTTTCCCATTCTGTTATGTGAGAAGCTTCTGGGTTTCTGTTCGGCTCATCTTCTCCGTTCTCTGTGTTTTCTCTCTACTCTGTGTATACATAATAACTTCTAGTTTTGGGTGAAATCTGAGTGTCTAGTCTTTGTGATTCTTCGCTTCTAGGTTTTGAGAGAAAGAGATCAGTTTGTTGATCTCGGTTTCATTGTAGTAGCTGCTTTGTGCTTTTTTCTTGAGGGTTTAAGGTTTTGTGGCTGATTCAATGCTGTACAGACGGGTACAATGATCCGAATTCTGAGCCCCTATTTTTTGAGAATCTATTACTTAATGTTATTGGATTTTTTGGATTCTTGGTGAATATATGAATGCTTTCGTTGATTCTTGAGGCTATAACCTTACAAGTGTTATCAGAGCGATTGTAAGACTTAGTGGAGTCTTCGATCTACTACTTGTCACTAGAAAATTAATTTTCAGCTGACATTCAAGTATTGATTTGAAGTTGCAGAAACTCTAATTTTTCCTTCTTCTTAATTTGGCTACTAATTCTTTCTCTATGTTTGTGTTCTTGCGAGGGAACTCGATTCTTGGTGAATTGTGCTTGGAGCTTGGGCTTTGAGCTGGCTGAGGACTGATTATTAAAACTGCCTGCGACTGGTTCTTGGTGAATTGTGTTTTGGTGGAATGATTCCAAACCCTTTTACTTACTTCCTTGTCATTAGATCTTGATCATTGTTATTTCCCTCATGTTTTCCCTATTATCACCGTTCCTTGGTGTTAGAATTGAGCCTTGACCTGGGGTCACGAACCTCATGGAATCCTGGTAAATTCTAACA